CAGGGTGGCTGAAACGTCAGGACACATTGGGTTATTACTGCCCTAGACTCAACACTGCCCGCACCACTGATTAGAACGGTTGGCTATGTACGGTGTGAAAGAAGTTCAACATACATGCATGCCTACATACTCAACACTGCCACGGTACTGAGATGTTAAATATCTCGCATGGTATGCAGGAGTTCGTGGGTTCGATCCCAACCCTGACACGTGCTGTATAAAATGAAAAAAACTAGTATCTTGCAATCAAGACGAATTGCCTAAATTATCAACAGAAGGTGTATATTGGATTAATTGTTCATGTGGCAGATGCTATATTGGATATACGGGACGTAACATCAGCGTAAGACTAAAAGAACACCAAAGAAATATTAAATTATTTCAAACACAACTCTCGGCAGTGGCAGAGCATGCTTGTCAACAAGGCCACTCAATTGATTTTGATACTGGCCAAGACTAATTAGAGAATCCGTTGAAATTGAGAGAAATACAAATAACTTAAATCGCTCCGACAGCTACAGGCTTAGTGTGGCCTGGAAGCGTATCATTAAATAAAATATATATTACAATTACAATTCATTCTAGGGGAAACACATGCTAATTATAACAATTGAATGATTACCAATCTATTATGTTATTACAATACCCTCCTCTCTGCCTCAAATCACTGCACCAGATTTGGTTAAATTATGACGTCACCCTACTGCTCTATTTAAGACCGGGAGCAAGTGGAGGGCTTCCCAATTCTGGCAAATTGCCTGATGATGCTGGATGTAATTACCAGCGAAACGTCGTACTCAAAATTGTAAATGATGTTGATTCACTCTTCAGCACACCGGTGGGCTAAAGTAGTGAACTATTTGTCTTTTGTAAACGTGACACATTTTTTACTGTTTGGCCGTGTCGGGTGGTGGAGGGTTATGACACATTCATAAATAACGCGATCTGACCCAAAAACCTTTATTATGATTATGTTTATTTGAAGTTTGCATTTTTTTCTCTTTCTCTCCCCATTGTCGCGTGGATTTTTCTTTAGGTCCTCCGGGTTTTCCTTCCACATTTAGAATGAACATGCGTATTCTATGGTTCTTTTGGTAAAGTCACGTAGATAGAAAAAATAATAACAATAAAATAAAAATGAAAATAAAGTTAATTATTTTTATTCACTTTATTATTTTGTATTTTTATTCACTTTATTTTCATTTTTATTATTTTATTGTTATTATTTTTTCTATCTTCGTAACTTTAACGAAATAACCATAGAATATGAATTCCTGCAGTCACGAAAGTTTTAAGTCAAAAATTTAATCAACATGCGTTTACAGTATTTGGCTGCTATAAATGACGACGTGATGAACCACTTCGTAAAGAATCTTAACTTAAAGCTTTCGTGACTGCAGGAATTCATATTCTTGGGTCTTTCGGTAAAGTCACGTAAATAGGTTATTTTCTTTGAACCTATTTTGTAATCGTTTAAGTTTCACTGCCCATAGAGAGAGTGAGAGAGAAAGACGCGACTATTAATACAACACATGCCAATTAACAATCCTGACAACGCAACCTCACGCTGCAGTTAAATCTCTCCTGACCAATCACAGAGTGCGATCTGCAGAGACTGTGGGTCTGTGGGACAGAGGTAAGTAACGTGACGGATGCACAGTGTTATCAGTACAGCTGTTTGGGGTCAGCCGCTGCTGGTCTGCGGGCAACAAGGTGAGTGATTGAGTGAGTGTGTTGAGTCTATAGCGAGTGGGTGAGTGGGTTGGAGAGTGGATGGGTGTGCGGGTCGGTGAGTGAGCGTGTGAGTGAGTGTGTGAGTGAGCGTGGTGTAGCGGTCAGCGCGCTGCACTACGAACCTGGCGACCCGGGTTCGATTCCCGCTCACAGCAAACACCAGTGACGATTATCTGAACCGGTCCTGGGCCTCCCCTAGGTCGACTCAGCCTCAAATGAGTACCTGGTGCGGTGTGTAAACATCGCCGCTAGGGAGACAAAGGCGGTCGGGCGTGGTGCTGGCCACCCACCCCCTCGTGTACCGTTCCGGCCTTCATAGGTGCTCGCTAACAGCACTTGCCCCTACAGTCTGTTAAGGCTATACGGGGGATCTTTGTCTTTGTTGAGTGAATGGGTGAGTGATTGGGTGAGTGAATGAGTATCTGGGTGGGTGAGTGAGGGGTAAGTTAAATGGGTGAGTGGGTAAGTAGGTGGCGCAGTGATTAGTGCCCTGCGCTTCAAAACCCAGCGACCTGAGTTCGATTCCTACTCAAATCCAGTGATAGCGATAATCTGAACCAGTCCTGGGGCCTCCCCTAGGTCGACTCAGCCTACAATGAGTACCTGGTGTGATGTGCAGTAACCATCGCTATTGGGGAAACAAAGGCGGCCGGGCAGACGTGGTGCTGACCACCCACCACCTCTATGCTGTGCCAACATTCATAGGTGCTACTCGCTAACAGCACTTGTCCTAATCGTCTGGTAAGGCTACACGGGGGATCTTTGGCAGTGTTAAAAATATGTACTGCTGGCTGTTATACTAAAACTGAACTAAACTGTTTTATTTTACTAGGTAATTCCCACTGAGCTATTTAGCTTTTTTTCAGAAGTGACCTTGCCACAAATTATACCTCAACGAAGTGGCATATCATCATCACCATCTGGTGATGTATAGCAGTCGTCAAATACTCTAAACAATTGAATTTGATTCTAAATGTGGAGGGAAAAAAAAGGAGCATCCAGACAAAAATCAAAGCGACCATCACGGGGACAGAGAGAGGAACATGGAGACTCCAAATGTACAGCTGGCATTGTCGGGTTGGGATAGAAACCACGACCTCCTGTATACCAGGCGAGGGAGACAACATCTCCTAGACACCGCGGCGAACCTTATTGGTCATAGTGGGATTGAGGGGGGCGCGGCAGGGAGGCGACAAGGTGACTGACTCTACTTCACCACGCTGGTCAGTGCGAGGTTTGTGAGTAGGGGTGGTGAAGGTTTGGGTTCGCGTGGCACTCACCACTGACGTTAGCCGTGGCCTGTCACTGAACTCTCAGATGTACAGCTTCGTGACTAACTCACCCACACAATCGATTACCCACTCACCCACTCAATCACTCAGCCAACCACCCACCCACTCAGCCACTCACCCACACACTCAATCACCCACCCAGCCACACACCCATCCACACTCTCCCTCAACCACACACTCAATCACTCACACACTCACCCACCCACTCTCTCCCTCATCCACACACTCAATCACTCACACACTCACTCACCCACCCACTCTCTCCCTCACCCACACACACACTCACCCACCCACACTCTCAGCCAGATACTTACTCGCACACTCACCCACCCCACCCACTAACTCACTTACTCACTCACTCGCACATTTATTCAGCCACTCACTCGCCCACCCATTTACTCACCCACCCATTTACTTACCCACCCATCCACTTACTCACTTCTCCAGCCACCAACCCAGTCAGAAGGGAGGAGGGAGATGGTGGAGTTGACGGAGGTGGAGGTGTAGGAGGAAGAATGGCTTGGCCAAAATGTTGGAGATGATAAGAGGTGATGATGGTCACTAGAGGTAAGGGAAGAGAGAGACGAGATAGGGGAGGAAGGAGCGAACAACAGAAGGAAGCTGCACGGGGAAGGAGGAGCAGCGTCTCTATTCACAGTGGGTGGCGGTGGGGAGAGGGGAGCGGCTCAGAGTTGGTGTGGCCACAAGGAATCACGTGATTTACTTGAGGCTCTAGCTGGTTTAGAGACTTTAAAACCCACTTTCATTGCTACCAGCACCAATAGCACTGGAGCTGATTTCGATCCAAAACGCATAAAAATGCAGCTCCAAGTGTGCACGTCATGTTCGACGGATAAGCATGTTAAAAGGTGAAATGCAGAACACGCGCGCATCACCGGCATTTGAGTGATATGCGTGCTCCAGCCGGAGCTGTGCCTTGAGCAGGCTCCTCCTAAACACTGGTACCGCAAAGTGGTCATCTTGCAGCATCTTTGTCCTGATATTGTGAACTGCCATCTTCGCTTGGTCACAGACGAAATTTGCAAGATCGTGGCCTTAATAACCAAGTAAGGCACCCCTTATATGGAACTGCTCTTGTAGAAGGGCACCGCCAGTTTTCTGAAAATGAACCCCAAAAGCCTGGAACATTTACGTTGAGCCGCGGGCAGGGCAAGTACTAGTGGGGCAGATCCTCACTGGCACCGCAGAAAGCATACAGGTCTGATACTCCTGGGGAGATTTGGCTAAGCCATATGGCCGATGGCACCATCCAGTGTGCCAAACCTCCACTGGAGGTCACCGCAGCTTTGGCTACGGAGGCTTGTAAATCTGTTTCTCCTGGAGGCAGTCACAATGAGGGGAGAGAAGTGATCGCTCTGTTTTGTGCCCTAGGTTAGCCAGGTCCTGAGAATGCAGCGCCTTGACGCAGTGCGTGCAGAGCACTTTCTTTGGGTTTAGAGAGAGAGGGATATTTCGTTACACCACCACTTTTAATAAACAACCCCAATCTTTTATCTCAACCACTATCATCTCATGTACAATTTGTAGAATTTCTATAAAGCACCTTTGAATAAGGCGCTATATACATCTATATTGGATATATTTGATGATATGGGATGGATTTAGCGTGCGGGAAGCCACACACACAGAAGACACGTGTCTTACTGGAGGCTCTAGCCAGTTTAGATACACGGATATATAGGGTTATGATGAATTACGTCTTGATACGTGCTGAATCTTTCTCTTTGCAGAGCCGGTCACATATCACGGTCACCACCACCACATCAACTACAATATCCATCACCGGTGAAGACGTTGAAGAACATTCTGATCAGATCAATTGAGAAGCTGAAGCGAAGAAGCCACGATGAGGGTTCGAGGAATCCAGTCGTGGCACTTCAAGGCGTGCATCCTCTCCCTGGGGCTCACGCTCATGGTCAGTGAAGTCTCTCTTTTGATCATCATGGATTGTACTTCTTACGTTGGTCAAACTGTGGCGTTAAATGGGAAATATATACAGGCATACCACCTACAGTGCTCAGGATGCGTTCTTGGTAAATGGAGCACTATACAAAACAGCGCTTTACGAGGTCATTATAAGAATGTTCATATGGAGATGCGTCCCAACAGCACTATATTTTTACCAGGGCAATATAGGAGGGATTTATTTGCGTATTGATTATAGCCTTAATAATGATACTGTACACATAATAAATATATCGAAGCATTTAAAAAACAAAACTCATAAACCGGTGGATTTGGTCGGAGCTTGCATGAGATTTACCACCATCTGCCGTGAACACACATTCTGTGGGAAGCTATATCAACCAATGGGATTACTTGATCTATGGATTGGCAATTAATCAATGCAGTGATTTACCCTCGATGAATCGATAATACAACGTGGCTGTCGGATCAACTATGAGCAGTTTCAATACAATAGACACCGAGATTCAGGTTCGAAAATATATGGGCAGAGACACGACCACACGGGCAACGACACACCTACTTTCTTCCATATTTTGGCTGATCCACGCAAGACAAAAAGTGTTATGACGAAACAGTGTTATAGTAGGCAGCGCTATAAGAGGTCTGCTTGTATACAGAGAGGCCCAAAAGTCAGGACGTATATGGGTTGTTATTATTAAACAGGGTGGGCCAAAAGTTAGGACACATAGGGTTATAATTATACAGGGTGGCCCAAGAGTCAGGACACATATGGTTGTTATTATACAGGGAGGCCCAAAAGTTACGACACATTGGGTTATTGAACAGGGTGTTTCAAAAGCCAGGATACATAGCTTTATTATTAAACATGGTGTCCCCCAAAAGTTAGGACACTCACTCACGCACTCACCTACTCAAGAAATAACTCACCAACCCACTCATCCACTCACTCACTCACACATTCTCTCACCCACTCATCCACTCACCCACCGACTCACCCAAGAGAAAATATATATACAAGGTGGGCCAAAAGTCAAGACACCTAGAGGTATTATTGTGCAGGCCCAAAATTCATTGGGTGTGAGTCATTGGATCGCTATGGGTCTGTTTGTGTGTCTATGCCAGCTTGTGGGTCTCTATGTGAATCAATGGTGACTGGGCTGAGATAAACCAACTCACACCACAGTTGGCTGGCCTGTTTTGAACCAAGGATCTCAGCAGTACTGCCTCAGCACTCAGACATATGGGACACCTCAATCAAATGCATTTTTATGCATTAATAACTGTGTATTTTCCTCTTTCAGATACCATCACAAGTTTTTACTCTGCACACAGGTATGTAATTAAGGTATACAACTAACTCAACCACAACTAACCCACAGCCACATATCTACGGGACCTTTGTTTTTTGCTCGTATCAAAGTTTGAAAAATACGAATGGATTTTATCCATTCTTGCAATACAGCAGATGTTAAGATGTTCCAACACCAAATAGAAACCTTTTACAAGGAATCAAGTCTGCAATAACCACATGTACTTGTGGCAAAACATGCAAACAAACATCCTCTGATAATATATTGTCTTTGAAAGTGCTTGGTTTATTGCCAGAGAGGGTTAAAGGGTAAAACCATTTACTTTCTTTCAAAGACTACGCATATATTAACAGAGCATGTTTGTTCACAGCCACAACGTGTGAGAATGATGTAGCTGCTCACCCGGAGCTCTTATTACTCTGATATTGCTTGTCTTTGTGCTGTACGCCTTATGGCGTCCTCTGGTCTAACACCGTTTAAGACTAGGCTCTAAAGATAGCTGTTTCTGGTGTGGACCAATCAGTTTAAAAGACAATGCATATATTATCAAAGTATGATTTTGTTTGCATTCTGACCACAATTATTGTGGTGAATGCAGATATGATTCCTTGTAAAAGGTTTCAGTTTGGTGTTTTAATATCTTAACACCTGTTTTGTTGCCAGAAAAAAGGGGAAACCCTATTCTCATATTTTAGTACTGGCAAAGGAGGTCGCATGATGAAGCCACAACTTGCTTTTTAATTGTATATATATTTTAAGCTGGAAATAATTGTTTTTTTCTTCATGATAAATGTAATGGTGCTTTGGGAGGCAGATTCATGCCAAAAATGCGCCACATGTTAACCAAAATTTCGACTTTATTATTCGCCTAAAGAGGCCTTCAGGCGAATAATAGACAATTGGAGTAATGATACCTCTATTTCTATTGAACAGGGTTTGGGGAACCTGTTGTTTTTTACTTCATTTCACACTGCTCACAACTTGAGTTCATATGGTGCGTGACTTCATTTTAAACAACCCACGACTTAATTTCACATGGTTCATGATTTCCTTTCATATGAACTGATACTTTATTTCATATGACCTGCAGCCACATAAGGACTACGACTTTGGAATGGATAAGTAGACAATCTATCTTTTTCACTTATCTATGTATTCAAGTTCAAAACGAAAGTGTATTTTACACACACCCCAGGATAAATAAACTTAACCCAAAAGCAGTTCAATCTTAATTTAGGAGCTTTCGTGACTGCAGGAATTATTCTTTGGTTCTTTTCGGTTAAGTCACGTCTAAAAATAAAATAATAAATTAAAATAACATATTACTATTTTATTTTAATTTATTATTTTATTTTTAGACGTGACTTAACCGAAAAGAACCAAAGACCAAAAGCAGTTCTAAAGAATTCGTCTAAACTTAAATACAAAATGCATAGGTTCAGTGGCTTCCTAATATTGGACGTAACAGCGTTCCAGACGGCCGCAGAAGTGCATCCAAAAGTGTGTGATGTGGTGACCCTCTTTGTTCAAGGGTTTGTCAAAAGCTGCTGCTAGCAAGGATGACTGGAGTTTGCGTGATTATGGTTTATGCTCCTTGATGAGAAAAGTCAGCATTGAGGCTGTGGGTGAACATTGATGCTGTGCATTGGTGTTGAAGCCATGGGTCAGCGTTAAAATATTTTCCTCTTCCCTCCCAACCCTTCGCTCTCCCTCCCACAGGCTGCGTGCAGGAGGCCGGCATGACGCTCTGCTGGTGTGAGAAAGGCTCCGTGTGGAGCGCCTCAATATGCGATTCGCTGGGGCCCTGCTTCCTCCACTCAGCCTCAGCCCAAGGGAAGAGCCCCTGCGCGTGCGTCCGGCAGTCACCTCCCGACAGTGAGCGCTGCCTTCCCACTGCCCAGGCTTCCTCCTCAGCTGGGCAGGCAGATCCCGGCATCCGCTGTCACGAGGGGGCACCCAACTTAGCCCTCGTGGGAAAAGAGAATGGAGAAATTGCCAACGGCTGCAGAAAAGATGGCGGCGGTAGCACAGAAGAATTCTGCGGCGCTCGATGGCATGCAGAGGGTGGCGGTAGTGGGAGAGAGCGCGAAGTTCACCATGCAGAGGGATCTGCCTTCATTGGAGGAGGGAAAGGAGATGGTGATAACAAAGCCTCCATTGTGAAAGACAAAAGAGATTCCGTTGACACCGTTCCACCCAGAAAAAAACACGACGATGTCACGTGCCCCAGGGAAGATCATATTGTTCCACCAGGGGGAGACCGCATTCTTGAAGCCAAGGGAGAGGAAAGTGAGGTCATTCGAAAGCCCAAAGAAGTGTTGCTGTCGGTCAACGACCGCAATCCGGACTTCAGGGAGCAGAAGAATGAGTACGTCAGCACGGAAGAATATGAGACAAGCCCCATGTCTATTTCAACATCATCCGCTCCGTCTTCATCACCATCATTAACGACAACCACGACGACGACCGGTCCACTGAACACTGCGGGACAACAAACTAAACGTTCCACGGGCCAGGTAGGACCTGGCCCCAGCATGGACTCCACTGGGACGACCACGGCCACCGTCATGGATGACGGAGACGCCACCGACAAGTATGAAGAAAACACCAGCACGGCAGCAGCGAGCACAGACGTGGACTCGGCAACGGCCGGTTTTGCTCCGGCTGACCTCTCCCCATTGACCAAGTCACATCCAACTGAAGTCTCGCCATTGACCGCTTCTACTGCTACTCCACAATGGACTACAACTGCCGATGTTGACCCTGCGACAGATTCCATCACAGGCTCTGATGTCACTTTAGAGATAGTTTCAGCAAGTCCGGGTGTCTCTCTCATTACAACACCAGATGTCTCTCTCATTACAATACCAGATGTCTCTCTCATTACAACACCAGATGTCTCCCTCATTACATCACCAGATGTCTCTCTCATTACAACACCAGATGTCTCTCTCATGACAACACCAGATGTCTCTCTCATTACAACACCAGATGTCTCTCTCATTACAACACCAGATGTCTCTCTCATTACAACACCAGATGTCTCCCTCATTACAACACCAGATGTCTCTCTCATTACAACACCAGATGTCTCTCTCATCACAACACCAGATGTCTCCCTCATTACAACACTAGATGTCTCTCTCATTACAACACCAGATGTCTCTCTCATCACAACACCAGATGTCTCTCTCATTACAACACCAAATGTCTCTCTCATGACATCACCAGATGTCTCTCTCATTACAACACCAGATTTCTCTCTCATTACAACACCAGATGTCTCTCTCATTACAACACGAAATGTCTCTCTCATTACAACACCAGATGTCTCTCTCATTACAACACCAGATGTCTCTCTCATCACAACACCAGATGTCTCTCTCATGACAACACCAGATGTTTCTCTCATTACAACACCAGATGTATCTCTCATCACATCACCAGATGTCTCCCTCATTACAACACCAGATGTCTCTCTCATGACAACACCAGATGTCTCTCTCATTACAACACCAGATGTCTCTCTGATTACAACACCAGATGTCTCTCTCATTACAACACCAGATGTCTCTCTCATTACAACACCAGATGTCTCTCTCATTACAACACCAGATGTCTCTCTCATTACAACACCAGATGTCTCCCTCATGACATCACCAGATGTCTCTCTCATTACAACACCAGTTGTCTCTCTCATTACAACACCAGATGTCTCCCTCATTACAACA